CCCGATTAGGCAAAACAGTTAAGTTGAAAAAAAAAATCACAAATCATCCAGTGAAGTGTCCAGATACAAAAACGAATCTGAAATCGCGAAACCCAGTTACTTCAGGCTCTGATTAGCTTCTCTTGGTATTAACATGTGTTTTGATCGCTTTTGCAAATTAAACATTTTACAATCATTGACATTGATTTGGTAATTACGGTGTCTATTGTTAAACGCTCGTTTGCAATTGTTTTATCTTTTTTTATTACTATCATTATTATTATTTACGATACAACCAACGCTGTGGTGAGTCAGTGCAACCATGAATATGTTTTACTGAAAAAAACTTGTTTTCTGGGCGTTTCTCACTCCATTATTGGTAAGGCGTATCTCTGCACACGCCTTGACAACGTTCTAAACCATCTTCTTAACTTGCCATTGATAAGACAGAAAACACAGTACATACACTCCAACTTGTTAAAACAGATCCTTAGCGACTGATCTGAACTCTCCCGTTTTTGAGCTAATCTGTGAGCATGTCCGGTTGAATAAGAGATTCTCGAACTCCTTTTGCGAGTAAAGGTAATCATAAAATTTTGATTAATTAATAAAAGGTGGTTTCCTACGGATTTCCTGCGCCTTTTTTAATTAATGGCATCGGTCCATGCAAGCCCGCGCAAAGTTATAAACCATCTTCTTAACTTGCCATCGATAACCGGGAATAACAAATGTATATAATATGGGATCTAAAGCGAATCTCAATATACAAAAGACGAATAAGAGTTCTTTCATGTTATTGGGGATTGTCACGCTCTCGTCAAAAGCAGCAATAATATAAGTGACAGATAACGGCTCAAAACACAATGCATACGCTCCAACTAGAAAAAAAAATATCTTTGACGACTGAGCACTCCCTTTTTCGAGCTAATCTATAGGCATGTCCAGGTTGAATAAGAGATCCACGAACTCCATTGGCGAGTAGAGCTTTGTTGAATTTTCGGATGATTATGAACTTGCGCACATATAAAACCAAAATGACAACCAGTTCAAACTGAGAATGGGAAAAGTACACCGGTAGAAATATCTATGTGTGATGGTCAAAGATAGAAAGCAGGGTAAAACCTGATGCGTAAAGCCAAATTAGTAAAACGTATAACTTTAAAGCCATCCCACTGAACAACTTCTCTCTTCGCAGAGGCATCTCTAAGGCCACGTATCTTTCCAACGTAAGAAAGAGCGCAGTACATCTTGAAGCACAAACAGCTAAGACCATCACTGTTCTAGCTGTGACGACGTACATGTGACACTAGGGACCTTACGCAATCAGGACGGCAACGCCAAGGAAGACTTCGATTAAAAAATGAATTTCTACTCTTA